CATTGGTGAATGCCACAAATTCTCCTAAATCACTCGTACGCACAACTTAAGAACAAATCTGTGCGTACGAACGGTTCTTGCTTGAGGCCCATTGTCAGCGGCAAAATATTGCATGTGTCCATAATAGTTTTGTAAGCTGTGCGCACAAAAATAAAGTGTGATGTTAAAAAACTGGGGCTGCACGACTCACTGGCTTTTTGATCAGAAACACAGATTTTAGTGAGGCTTAAATAGAAACTCTGACTGTTTTAACACGATAAGTCACAAGCTCGTCTCCACCAGTTGCAGCCCAGTAACATACTGTCTACAGGGACTTTACAAGAAAATGTCCCTATTTCTGATCTTTAGAGGCGTTCCCGGACTGTTGAAGTGTTTGGCCAGTTTGGTGGTGAACCCTGCCAGGGATCGATAGGCGACAGAGAGTTTTGTGAATCTACAGAAAACTGTTTGTCGTCAACTCCAAGTCCTTGTTTAGCCACAGAGTTCCAGTGTGGTACAGGTACTGCAGCCTCCTCTACACAAAAAGACCACAATCATTTCCCCCTCTGGGATTAAATCTGCATCTCTGTGCAGAACTGAAGACATGCATCAAAAAGAGACTGGAATGCAACGGGGACTATGACTGTGAAGATGGCTCAGATGAAGACTGTGATCCTGTGCGTAAACCCTGCGGTACATCAGAACTTGAAAACAATGAGCAGGGCAGGACAGCAGGATACGGGTAAGTCTTATTAGACTCTGTCCTACTGGAATCAAGTAATGTATAAATACAGTACAATGACATGACGAAACAAAGAAAACCTTCTGATTTTGAACGATCTGGTGTTAATTAGTGACCTTTTTGTTTCCATTTAATATAAGAATCTCAGAAAACAAATTAGACTGCTTCAAACAAACAATAAGGAACAGATATTACCCATTAAAAATAAAGAAATGTCATTTTATTCCAAACCCTCACACTACACTCAAAAATTCTAAATCTTTTTTTTTATTACAACAGAAGCATTATTTCAGACTAATATGTGAAATATTAAAGGAGCGATATCATTTAAAATCAACTTTTTTGGGTTTTATTTATTTTTAATTATTTATTTATTATGTTATAATGTTATACTCTCATAAAAAACATGCCCAAAGCCTTGCTTTGACTCATCCATGCATGTTTGAGAAATCCTGCAGTGTTTTTATGAAGACATGCTGAGGAGCAAAAGTGATGAGAAGATAAGTTTATTTTCTATTTAAACATAAAAACAGCATTTTAATAACAGCTAAAGGTGACATAGATACTTTATTATGGTATAATATTTAAATATATGCCTGAGAAACACAGAATATTGCCCCTTTAAAGAAGAAATCCAGCAGATTCCTGTTTTATTCGGACATACCGTTTTGATCAATTATTTTTCCAACAAAACAGTCTTTTCTATTTTCTACTCAGATTTAGTATTTGTCAATGGCACATGCAGAGACTTGTCAATTGACTTTGGTGGTACCGTGGCAAGTCAGGTACAATGGGTGGCAAGGGCCACTTCAAACCTCCCTCTAGTTTTACCCCTAATCTAGGCTGGCCCTTGCCTTCGTACGCAGCTCCGCTCAATTCTAGTTTCCCTTCACTGCTCCGTCTGGGAC